GCCAGTATGCAGCAAAATTAAAGTCTACACATGCACATACATGTACACCTACATGTATTTATAAACCCAGTACATGAACCAGTGCAGGTAGACATCAGAAATACCTGCACAACACCCATTTTACCTGCACTAACTTCACTTGCATGTGGTGCAGGTGGTATTTTGAGCCCTGCACTCAATCAGTGTGTGTCAGATGTGTGTGTGGCCATGTTGGGTCACACTGCTGACCCAGACTTCCCAGTAATGCAGCAAGTTAAACACGTAAACAATTGCATGCCAGGAGAGGAGAGGTCTACAGGTAGGCTAACCCTGTATGTAGGGCCTGGTTCCATAAGTCATACAATCACAAACTGAGGGAATTCTCTTAATCTTGGGACTGTCTTGCAAGTGCAAGCCTCAAAATTAACTTTTGTTCCTATTGTGCCAGCATTGTCCCAAAAATAAATTTCGATTGTCCCAAAGTGAGTATGTACTGTCTGACTCCTAATCTGTTTTGCTTACGTTCTGACTCCCAGGCATGTTATAATTACAGAATAGACAAATTTGGGCGGCCAAATTTCTGGGGCCAAAAGCCAGGATACATGCCTGATCAACAAAAGATGGGCTGACATTCTGATGTTGATTATTGTCCCCCAAAAATGTCCCAGAGTGTGTTTTAGATGTATGTTTTAAACGTGATATTACATGTACACAATCACCAGTCACCACAGACACTCAAAACATAAGAGATATTAGTACCCATCCACCACCAGTACTATCCACTGATCACCAGATACGCAGGATATTATATACCTTGAATGGTTTAGAGTGGCATTCATTAGTCTAATTTAGATAAACTGTTGGATGTTATCAAGTCAATAGATAACACATGTCCCTTACAGATCTGATACCGCACATCTGATAATGCAGGTCTGTGTCTAGACTCTAGACTTGTGCTGGTTTAGAGATCCTTAGGCCAATTTGAGCAATTACAGTTATCCTTCTGTTATTCTCTCTGGATAACTATAACTTATATTATTAGCCCACAGTGTTCGAAATACCTGTCTGCAGTCTGCAATCTGCAGATAGATTTTCAAGATTGCAGAAGAAAAATTTATACATGTATAATCTGCAATTTTGCAGCAGGACAAATTGGCCCTTGGGATTTGACGCTTTTGGCCCCAAGGACAGACAACACTTAAGCTCCTGTTTTGAAACAACAGGAGCTTCTTCACTAATTTGCATCAACCTTGTCTTGACTTGTCTATCTTTCGTTTCCTTCTGGACTTCCAAAAATTTGTCTTCACTAATTTGCATATTAATCAATAGTTCATGCTTATAAACCTGCAAGATTGTAGTATGGAGGCTTGTGTATTTGCAGAAAGTATTTTCAAATTGCAGAACAAAATTTTGACTCTTCTGCAATATTGCAGAGCACTGAAAAAAAGTATTTCGACCACTGGCCCAGTAACTAGAACACTTTGTATTAGCCTAGTATAGTATCCTTATGTGTTACTTATGTATGTATGTATGTATGTCTAAGTCAAGTAGTGTCTCTTTTGTCTACATTTGTTATGTGTCTGTTAAGTCTTGACCTGTACCTAGCCCGTTGTGGCATGAATGTACAATAAAGGTATTTCAATGTTTTATGTTAATAATGAGAAGCAGAAAGATTTGAGATAGTAAGAAGTTAGTCTGTTACAATTTCCCCCTATGCTCAGTTTCTTTTTACACAAGGTGGAAGAAAATGTAACAATCAATGTAACTGCATTTGTAGGTCAACTATATTGTTAATTGCCTGTCATGTCCAGACATGTTCCTATTGATATTACAGCATTGATATTTAAAAGAATGCCCCCTAACCGTCTTCCTCTGTACTGCAGGATGCCCACAACTGCATTCCTGAGTTTGATGAGAAGACGGCTCTCTTTGCTGTGTATGATGGACATGGAGGTAAGCTAAAGCTTTACAAATATACATTTTTTTTTAGCGGATCATTCTGAAAGTAAGCTGTACCTTCAGTACAGAATGTTGTGGCTCTATGCAAGGTCACTTACACAGTAACGCTCGCTTAGCCTGGTTACCAAACCTATTACAAACCTACTGTAAGTGAAGTGTTCAAGGGTTAGGTGTAATGAGTCGTTTGTGTATTGTAGCCAGCTGCCGCTGTGCCACGAGCCTGTGAAGCTGGTGTGTTACGTCAAAGGGCGATTATACAGGATATACAGTTACTGAAGCTGGTGTGTTACGCCGAAGGGCGGTTATACTGGCTATACAGATACAGAAGCTGGTGTGTTACACCGAGGGGCGGTTATACCGGCTATACAGATACAGCAGCTGGTGTGTTACGCCGAAGGGCGGTTATACCGGCTGTACTGATAGTGATACAGATACAAGTCTTATATGTATACCCTCCCACCTTCCAGGTGCAGAAGTAGCGGAGTACTGCGCAAAGTACCTGCCCGACCACCTGCAGCAGCTGCAGCTGTACAATTACGACAAGGACAGGAACCTGACTATGTTTCGTACCTACAGCCAAGTCATAACACTCACATGTCATGTTTGAATGCCTCCCTTCCAGGTGCAGAAGTAGCGGAGTACTGTGCTAAGTACCTTCCCGAGCACCTGCAGCAGCTGCAACTGTACAAGGAGGGGAACCTGCGGGACGCGCTGCAGGAGGGATTCCTGTCCTTCGACGAGAGACTCACGCAGGAGGAGGTCATCAACGAGCTGAAGCAACTGGCAGGGCTCAGCGAGGACGAACAGAACGAACAAGGTCAGGCCTTGAAATTAACTTTTCTTCCTATTGTCCCAGCACTGTCCCAAAGTAAATTTCAATTGTCCCGAAGTGATAATGAACTGCTCCATCTGTTTTTCGGGAAGTATTATATGACTTCATCTTGAGGTCAGCTTTACTTTATTTGCTTACGTTTTGACTACCAAGCACACTACAACTGCAGAGTAGGCAGGAAATTCAGGGGGGACTGATAAACAAAAGTAGAGCTGACATTCTGATTATTTTTCTATTGTCCCAAAAATGTCCCAAAGTGTCTTTTTAGTTGTCCCAGTCTAAATTTTGGTGGTCAGTGGCCACCTTTAATTTCGAGCGCTGAATGTTATGTTTCTTTTCCCACCCCCAGAGACCACAGATGACCCAGAAGATGAGGCGTCGCTCCTGAAACAGGAGGCTGACATGTCCATAGAGGAGATCCTGGCCAGATACGGCAAAGCGCAGAACAAGGCTTAACTTAACACTCAACTTTATTTTTCCCTACCATCCAGGTGCAAAGGTGCTGACCACCTGTCCATATAGACCAGACTTTCTCTATACTATGCCCTACAGGTCTGCCCTAGCTGTCCAGTGTTGGAAATAGCCAACTGCAGTCTGCATTTTGCAGAGACATTTTTGTCAGTGACTGACAGACCTCTGTGTGCAAACAACTCTTGTATGATTTTATCGCCTGGATATCTAAAAGCTTCAACAACGTAATCTTTGTTTCTTTTCCTACCCTCAGAGACTATACTGTACTATGCCCTACAGGTCTGCCCTAGCTGTCCAGTGTTAGACCCACCAACAGTCTGCATTTTGTGGAGACATTTTTGTCAGTGACTGACAGACCTCTGTTGGTAAACAACTCTTGTATGATTTTATCGCCTGGATATCTAAGCTTCATTGATGTATTCTTTGTTTCTTTTCCCACCCCCAGAGACCACAGACGACACAGAAGACGAGGCTTCGCTCCTGAAACAGGAGGCTGACATGTCCATAGAGGAGATCCTGGCCAGATATGGGAAGGCGCAGAGCAAGGCTTAACTTTTTTTCCTTCCATCCAGGTTTCAGAGATGGTGACCACCTGTCCATAATAGACCAGACTTTCTTTATACTATGCCCTACAGGTCTGCCCTCGCTGTCCAGTGTTAGACCCACCTACAGTCTGCATTTTGCAGAGACATTTTTGTCAGTGACTGACAGACCTCTGTTGGCAAACAACTCTTGTATGATTTTATCGCCTGGAAATCTAAGCTTCATCGATGTATTCTTTGTTTCTTTTCCCACCCCCAGAGACCACAGATGACCCAGAAGACGAGGCTTCGCTCCTGAAACAGGAGGCTGACATGTCCATAGAGGAGATCCTGGCCAGATACGGGAAGGCCCAGAACAAGGCCAGCGCGGCGCTCCGCAAGAAGAACAAATTCCAGTCCCCGCTCGTCAGGAAAACACAGTCCAAACTGGACCCGGGGAACTGTACGGAGAACGGGGAGGTGGCCGAGGGGAGTGAAGCCGCAGAGGGGAACTGTAGCAGCAAAGTGGAGAAGTCTTCTTCAGCGGCAGCGGCTGCGGCGTCTTCCAGACCGGAGGTGTCGGAAGCCAGCAGCACGAGTTTTACGAAAGCGGAAAAGTCGTCATCAGAACCCAGAGACTCCTCAACAACAAGCGAGAACGAAGCCAAACCAAAAACGACGACAGCAGCAAACGGGGAGGGGGACAGTTGTTCGTCGAGTCACACAACTACAGCGGAAGACTCGGCGGTCGGAAGTTCGTGTGCCGGGTCTTCCTCTTCGGAAATCGGCGCCGGGGACGCCGCCGCCGCGTGTTCTAATAGCGGGCCGTGCTCGTCTTCTTCCGTAGCCAAGGGTCAGGGGTTGTCATCGGAGGGTGAAGGGTCGTCGTCGGGTCAGGGGTCGTCATCAGGTCAGGAGGCGACAGAAGACAACGGGTGTTCGTCTGTAAGCAGCAGTACAGGGGGCAAAGGGAAGGGCAAAGGTAAGACTCATCAGAAATTTTTTTTACAGGATAGAGATCAGGTACAGAATAGATGGCCAATGTTTATTCTTAAGCCATAGGATGACTGTTTCTTAAAGATCTATGTGGGGTTTCAGGGTTTTCCACAGAAAGAAACACGCCAGTGCTGGTTGGAAGACGTTATACATTGTAGGAGGTTCAAATCATAGCATAGACACCTCTATGTTCAGTTATGCCAGCTAAAACACTAGCTAAGGACTTTTAGCCCGTGACAGGGCAAGCGATGAAGTTTTGGCTGTTGCTAGATGTTTCTCCCTCCTATATTCTAGGTAAGAAGTCCTCCCCAGCAGGAGAAGCAGGAGGTAGTGGGTCTGACTCCTGTAACAGTTACTGTTGTCTGTACCCAACACCTGTACCTGTACCTAACACCTGTACCTGTACCTAACACCTTTAAGATGTTTGTTCCTTGTTGTCTGACAGGTAAGAAGTCCTCCCCAGCAGGAGAAGCAGGAGGTAGTGGGTCTGACTTGGCCCCTGGAGGCAGCCGGGCGCCGCCTGACAGCAGTGAGGAGGAGGAATCAGAGGAGGACAGTGATGGTAGGTCATCTCTCAGACAGGTGCTTGTTTCTCGAAGGAAAATATACTGTTTCTGCTCAGTTTCCTCTTCTTCTTCTCCAAACAAACAAGGTCAATGACCTGAACCAGATGTCTGTCACCATGGTAAATGATGTTGGGTTACATCATGTTGCAATTTTATAGCAGGAGGGATTTAGACTCCTGTCACCATGTACATATGAATGTGTTTGAGTGGGAATTAACAGTCTTAAGAGCAGACCATATGTGAAGGTAAACCTTTCTAGGTCTCATCTCCTCTATCTCTTAGTCTAATAATTTGACCGTTGTGGCACTACAGATGATGAGACAACCAGCAGGGTTGGACAAGTCCCATTGCCCACTTGCCCAGGGCAAGTAAAAGTACTGTTTGGGCAAGTGAATATCCCCCTGAACTTGCCCGATTGGGAAAGTAAATTTTTTGGAAGCAAAGTATAGCCCCTGCAGTATTTCGACCAAGTTTCAAACAATTTTGATAAATAAAGCATCCAACATTATAAACTCTATTATAATAAAATAACTTCCTTTCTGCTAGGAAAATGTATAGAAATGTGTCATATTTTGGGCAAGTGAAAAGTTGGTTCGGGCAAGTGGAAATGACCAGGTACTTGCCCGATACGGCAAGTGGATTTTTGAAAACTTGTCCAACCCTGCAACCAGTTTTCTCCACCCTTCTCGGTTGTCTTAACCCTTCGCTGGTGTCATGCCTAGTGATGCATACCTAAACCCAATTTCAGGTTCAGGTCCGGATTCAAGTCCAGAGGTTTAGGTTCAGGTCCGGACTTGTAAGTCCGGACCTAAACCCATGGCATATACAAAATTGCTTGTTGGCAACCTTGCAATGTTGGGTGAAACTTTGGCCACATAACATGGAGGCTGGTACTTGACGATGCCCGATGGCAATGTTTTCTTCATTTTGCAGCAAAGATTTTGGAATCTACGGAAGGTTTTAGGTGGTTTAAAAAGAAAAGGGGGATGTGAAATGGTCTTTTATGGTAATAAGTCCGGACTCGGTTCTTGACTTGTAGGTTTTTTTGGACTTGAACCTTAACATTTTTACAAGTCCGGATCCAAGTCCAGTGAACCGGTATGCACCACTAGTCATGCCTGTCCTTTCTCTGATATTATCCTCCCGTCGCCTACCTCTCGTTGTAGGCAGTGGGTAAGGCAGCATTAAATTATACTGAATAAACGCTAAATCAAAATTGATAGTTAGCCATATTGTAAGTCAGAGGGTTACATAGTTAGCCATATTGTAAGTTGACAGAATGTATACCGCCTATTCGAAACCTGTAACGGGATTACAAACCTTGCTTCCTCCCTTTAGAGCTTGAATCTGAAATACAATTGCAGACTTAAAAATTTTGATATTTGACTATTCTGATTTTTCAGAAGACATGTTTGATGAAGACGACTCTGAGGAAGACTCGGATGACCTGGATGATGATGAAGATGAAGATGGGGAGGAGGAGGAAGAGGAGGAGGATGGTGATGAAGGACCAATCATTTTCTCTGACAAGGAACAGGTGAGAGAAGTTATCTACACAACTAGAAATCATTGCGTAGTGAAGAAGGTGTTTCTAGAATGGAACAAACATTTCTTAGAGACATCATTCATTTCAGCAGGAATCCCATGTTATTCTAACAAGGCTTTCAAAGTACCATATAGCTGTTATTTTGGCAGTGTATGGCAGGGAGACTTCTACTGCTTCTGTGTAACATGCAAATTCATTGATTGATAAAATATTTCAATATTTTGTCCCCCTGTAGCCTGGTTCAGACAGTGGGACCACAGCTGTTGTAGCCCTCTTAAGCCAGGAGAAGTTGTACGTGGGAAACGCTGGGGATTCGCGCTGCGTGCTCTGCCAAGCAGGCCATGCCATTTTCCTTGTTTTTTGTGCATCGTTCTAACTCGTGTATTTTCTCCTCTTGTAGCCTGGTTCAGACAGTGGGACCACTGCTGTTGTAGCCCTCTTAAGCCAGGAGAAGCTGTACGTAGGTAACGCGGGGGACTCGCGCTGCGTGCTGTGCCGAGCGGGCCGTGCCATTGACATGTCGATCGACCACAAGCCAGTGTGCTGTGCAGACGAGACCATGTAGTTCTGTGTATCGTTCTAACTCGTGCCTTTTATTGTCCCCCAGCCTGGTTCCGACAGTGGGACCACAGCTGTAGTAGCCCTCTTAAGCCAGGAGAAACTGTACGTGGGTAACGCGGGGGATTCGCGCTGCGTTCTGTGCCGAGCGGGCCGTGCCATCGATATGTCGATCGACCACAAACCCGAGGACGATGAGGAGAGGGACAGGATACTGAAGGCCGGTGGGAAGGTCACGCAGGACGGCAGGGTCAACGGCGGGCTCAACCTATCCAGAGCAATCGGTACGTAGAGCAAGAGGAACATATGATTTAACTACTAGAGTTTGGATGAAAGCTCCTCTATGTTGGGAGAATCCATAGTTATGAGTTCAAACTTTGTTCCAACACAAAAACGTCATCACGTTTCTGACTGGCAGAGAGTCAGCGAGTGCACCACACATCTGACGAAGGTTGACGAGATCAACCGAAAATTTATGGTGAGTTTCCTTCTTGTGTTGGAACAAAGCTTGAACTCTATAACTCGAGGAGTTATACAGGCTGACATTTCTGAATTCTTAACATTGCATCAGCAACACGTAGCTACAGTGCAAAGTAGAGCCAAGAATGTGTCAGGTAGTTCCGTGGGGAAGGTCACGCAGGACGGCAGGGTCAACGGGGGACTCAACCTGTCTAGAGCAATCGGACAGGTTGTACTACATGTACATCTTAACTACTCAGCTAGAGACTGGCTTGTCTGTGTAAACCCTGGTCCCCCCCCCTCCTCAGGTGACCACTGTTACAAGAGGAATGAGGACCTTCCCCTGAAGGACCAGATGATCACCTCCCTGCCAGACGTCCGCACGATAGACATGCAGCAGGACGATGAGTTCATGGTACTGGCCTGCGACGGCATCTGGTGAGTGTATCCAGAACTGTGCTTAGTTAGTTCTATGTATGACTGGGTTAAGGTTAGGATAAAGAACGGTTTTAATGCAACATCCCAACATCCGTACTAAAGACATGCAGCAGGAAGATGAGTTCATGGTACTGGCATGCGACGGCAACTGGTGAGTGTATCCAGAACTGTGCTTAGTTAGTTCTATGTATGACTGGGTTAGGGTTAGGATAAAAAACGGTTTTAATGCAACATCCCAACATCCGTACTAAAGACATGCAGCAGGACGATGAGTTCATGGTACTGGCCTGCGACGGCAACTGGTGAGTGTATCCAGAACTGTGCTTAGTTAGTTCTATGTATGACTGGGTTAGGGTTAGGATAAAGAACGGTTTTAATGCAACATCCGTACTAAAGACATGCAGCAGGACGATGAGTTCATGGTGCTGGCATGCGACGGCATCTGGTGAGTAAAGCAACATTCCAACATTTCATGACTAGACATAGTGGCAGCACAGTCGAGTTATATCAACTTATTTTATACCGTCACCAACGCAGAGGACAAATACGGAACAGGACAATACTCATTTTCACTTGAGTAAAGTGAGGAAAGTCGTGTTAAAGTAAGTGCCTTTCCCAAGGGCACAAGATCAGTGGCATGTCAGGACTCGAACCTGGGACCTCTTGGTTCCGAGTCGCATACTCTGCCGCTACGCCCCATGACCTCACCGCAAAGCAGGGTTGGTCGAGGCTAGCTAAACCATCATTGGAATTTTTGTATATATTGTTTTTTTTAACATCTTCCTCATAAGACATACGCCTGCACCAGTGTGTGTGTGTGTGTGTGTGTGGATAGCATTCAGCACCAAGGACATACTTCTGCACTTAACGACAGTAGACTAGACTTATAAATTAATTTAGAACTTACATTTGCATGCTAATTATAAAGTGAAAACTGCTGTACAATTGCACTGGTGTGTGTGTGGAAGGCATTCAGCACCAAGGACAGGTACAGTATAAAGTGAAAACTCTCACTTAGACAAGTTAGAGTACAGTTGTTATACACGAAAAGAGCCTGGGCTTTAGTTATACTCCTACCTGACTGTCTGCTCTCCTCCCCCCC